GTGAAACTGATAGGTTACAAACTCAATGCCAAATCGTTCCACTATACCCATTTTATGTAGTAACTCATAACAATCAACCAGAAAATCGTAGGCATCCTCAGATTCCGCACCCTTGAAGACTGGAGGTTTCAATTTCAAGAACTTACTGAAAAGTTCATGCTGATCGCTTGTCATTATAGGCCCTGTAGTCAAACGAGGAAACGTGCCTATTTCCAATGAGGCATCCATGCGGGGAGCCTCAACATCGGCCTGTCGTACTTCCGGAACCTGAGGTGCTGGTGCAGAAAACACTGGAGGTGTCTGGCCTTGATCAGTTAACCCGCTAAGATAAGCAAGAACCTGATTAATTATCTCTGGGGTAGGTTGGGGTGGTAATTCCTCATTCTGCACTTGCTCACTTTCCCCTTCCTCACCCTCTCTTACTACTTCCTCAGTCGGTGGAGGAGTCACCTCCCTAGTACTAGATGGGACAAGTGCTTGTCCTCTTCCTCTAGAGGACGTCCTCCCACGACCTCTACCACGACCCCTTGTCACTGCTCCTCTTCGAGTTACAGCCCCAGTGGCTGGCTGAGACGCACCCTGTCCTGCCGGTGCTGGTGTTGGTGTAGTTGTTGTTCTAGTTCTAACCATCTGCGAAATAGAGTGAAGATGGTCAGATATCAATTTGTATCACCTAGATACCAATAGGATCCAAGTAATAGCACGTAAGAAAGAAAGAATGGAATTTTTCCTAAAGTTTATAGCCTCTCAAAGAAAAGTAAATGCGTCCCCCTACCGTTCCTTAAGACTCTACTAGACTCGTTCTTGTGTGATGAGACCAACGAACCTAATGCTCTGATACCAAATTTGTCACGACCCAAAACGGGTCGCGAGTGGCACCCACACTTATCCTACTATGTGAGCGAACCGACCAATCGGAATCCCAACATTTCAAACATAATAAATAGAAAACAATGCGGAAGACTTAAAACCCATTAACAAAATCAATAATCAACTTCTAAAACTCAATACTTATCATCCCCAAAATCTGGAAGTCATCATCACAAGAACATCTATCCTCAAATTACTAAATCTAAGAATGTCTAGGAAACTAAAACAAATACAATCCATGTCCGAACTTCAAGGACATCAAGACATGAATGAGAGAGAATCCAGTCTGAGCTAGGAACAATAGCTCACCCTTAAAACTGACGCGGTGAAGACTGGCTAGAGTTGCGGTTGAGTTGAAGACGATGGCACGTTTGCTGCACTCCACAAATAACAGAGAAAAACAATTACAAGTAGGGGTCAGTACAGAACACGAGTACTAAGTAGGTATCATCGGCCAACTCAAAATAGAAAGCAATATATTTCAGATAATAACATAAAATCAACTAATATTCTTAACAGGTGATAGCAACAAGTATAAGAATCATTTACAACATCACCAAACACATCTATGAGGACTCAAGCCTCCACATCATACTCTTTTTGGGAAACAGGTTCTTTAGATTGAGTATATTAACATATTTCAAGATTCATTCTCTTTACTAATCTTGGTGTCGGAATGTGACACTCCGATCCATCTACTATCCTGGTGTCGGAACGTGACACCCGATCCATTAATACTATCCTGGTGTCGGAACGTGACACCCGATCCATTAATACTATCCTGGTGCCGGAACGTGACACCCGATCCATTAATACTATCTTGGTGCCGGAACGTGACACCCGATCCATTAATACTATCCTGGTGCCGGAACGTGACACCCGATCCATTAATACTATCCTGGTGCCGGAACGTGACACCCGATCCATTAATACTATCCTAGTGCCGGAACGTGACACCCGATCCCCTAACCTCATTCTTTTAGTTCATCAAGCCTCCTTTTATACCAATGCATCATCATTAACAACGAGGTTTTATGGTTTAAGATTCAACAACCTCATCATGCTAATTCATCAAAAATATGTAATCATATCATGCATACACACAATTAAACAATATAGGAGATTTTACATACTACCCAATACATATCATTCACTATTAAGAGTTTACTACGGAATAGCATAAACCATAACCTACCTCCACCAAAGAATTCGTGATCAAGCACGCTATCCCCCAAAACCTTTGCTTTCTTCTTCGTTTTTCCCTCTTCTCTCGATCGTTCTCCCTCTCTTTCTCTTTTTCTAATTTTTCCTTATTCAAACTCTTTTTCTTTTACCCTAATTACCATATAATTAAATATAAAAAAAAATGATAAAATACCCCACTACTTGTTTCAAGGTTCTCTCTTTTAACCCCCAAGTAATTAAATTATTAACATTAAACCACTAACTTTATAATTATAAGCAGGAATAGTCTAAAACGCCCCTTAAATGTTTAACAGAAATCCGACCCCATCAGGGTCACGCAGCCTGTGACGGGCCGTCGTTCCTTAGACGATCCGTCCTGCTGAGTCTTCAGAGAGTTCAGAGACTAAATTTTACTAAAGGGCCTGTGACGGTCCGTCGTACCCACGACGGTCCGTCCTTCCATGCCGTCGTGAAGTTCAGAGAGTTGTTCTCAGCACCCAATTTTCTAAATTCTAAGTGTTTTGGAATGAGACACCCTCGACGGTCCGTCGTACCCATGACAGTCCGTCGTGGGATCCGTCGACCCAGACAATGATTTTCAGAAATTAACTCTGCTGCTCCAAACGACTAAACAGGTCGTTACACTCATGAAACCCACACCAAACTGTTAGTGTATCGATATGTGGTATCCAAACCAATATTTATGTCGAACGTGGCAACCGATCCCATGTTTATACCGAAACATGGCAACTGATCCTAGTTAGTGTGTTGGAACGCAACATTTGTTCCATACGACAAGTCACAATCACAAGTATATTCTCAAATCATACAATCAAGAATTATAATGAAGCAAGAACAAATATACATCACACAACATGAAATAACAATCATCACCTACCTTGATACACACTTAAATTTCCTAAGAAACTAGAGTCTTCCCTTTCTGGATTCATTTCGCTTGTTCTTAGTCTATAAGCAATTAATATAATACGGGAATCAATAAATGATGTCGAGTTACCCGAAATAAAATTAACACTGTCAATCCTAGATCAAATCTATGATCCTAATATTCAAATTAGGACTTTTCTCACCATCCAAACAGTTCCAAAATCATTCTCCAACAATGATTACCCACGAATTTTATTTTACGGATCAAAAAAATAGATTTGGGGAGTGAAAATCTTACCTTTTGCATCAATAATGATGAAAAACTATCAAGAAAACATATGGGGTCGTCCCTAGTTATTAAAGTCGAAAAGTGCATAATAAAACATTTTTGAGGTTTATTTTCAACTTAATTCGTGACTGGCCCGCTATGACGGCACTCATCCCGCCATAACGGCCCTGTCCTAGTGGGAATAATCCAGCCTCAGCGGCTTTAAAGGAAACAGAGAGCTAAATAAAGAATTTCAAAACCCCCATTTCACAACACACCTTCAATCAATGATACTCAGACATTATCCGTTCACGCTAAGATCGGTTTTAAAAGTTCTACTCGCCCGAATTTAATTTCACAAAGTTATACGAGTTTCTTAACTTCTTAGATATTTATTTATATGATCAAGATCATAGTTATATCACCCAATTATTATGAGATTTCTCCAAACTTTACTGATTTTGATTTCGTCCAATTCTTGACTACGTTGGAAAATTCCAAGTTACTAAGGAAAAACTTTCGTCACGATGCAAATCGAGTCGTGAGTGGCACCCACACTTTACCTTCTAGGTGGAAAAACCAACAAATTTAACCCCAACATACAAACTACAAGAATAAAGCGGAAGCTTAAAATCTTATTAACTATCGTTTCCCAATTGCTGAAAGTCATTACGTGAAGGACATTTTTTTCTTAAAAAACCAAGTGTAAATGTATTAAAGACACCAAAATGAGTAAATAAGATGGTCCGTGTCTGAAATTTAAGAACATCATGCCATGAATGAAAGAATCCAGCACAAGCTCGAATGAATAGTTCAACCTTGAACCTGATATGTTGAGTCTTGCTAGAGTTGAGGGCGAGTCAAGTCGTTGTTACACTCGTTGCACTCCATAAAAGGAAAACAAATAAAAACATAAGTAGGGCTAAGTACGGGGAAAATATATACTAAGTAGGTATCATAACATACAATGAATAATATAAAATCAACTATGACACTTAGAAGGTGGAAAGAAACAAACACAGTGACAACAACATTAAAGTAAGTACGCAATCACTCACAATATCAAGCACATTTATGAAGACTCATGCCTCCATACCAACACTCATTTGGGAAATGAGTTCTTTGATATTGCGTACATTAAGTTAATTCAATATCTTTTTCCTTTGATATTACCGTGTTGGGAATGTGACACTCTGATCCAATTATACTGTGTCACAACATGACACTCTGATCTAATTATAACGCGTCAAAACGTGACACTCTAATCCAATTATATCATGTCGGAACATGACACTCCGATCCAATTATACCGATAGAGATGAAAAACTTTTCCCAGAGAGATGCAAATACGAGTCAACAAATTGGAAACTTGAGAAGAACCTTAAACTCTAATGAACGTCGAGAAATGAGGACAAACGAGAAAGTAGAAAGACACTCACACCAGAATCATTTTCCTCTCGCTGTTTCATAAATGTGTTTCTATATATCTTATTTGCTATGCTGCTTTATCAATACCTTTTGCTCCACAAATTTCTCCAACCCGAAAACAATGAATAAGAAGAGGTTTATATGGGGGAAAATTTAGGGTTTTAAATTTTTGGGGAAAAGGAGAAAACCAGGATAAGAACAAGAGCATAAATGGAATTTCCCTTCGAATTTTAGTTCAAATTTTGCTCCAAGGATCAGAAAACAATCGGGTTGTACGAGAAATCTCCAATTTTCAGCAAACTAGCAAAAGTTGAAACGGACGCGAGCGGCTTTGATCGAAACGATCGTCCTTGTGCTCAAAATGGAACCATCAACACGAGTCAAAGAAAGATTTTGCGGCTACAATAATGCTTTTGCGAGAATCGCGGCTGGGCAAGACCGCAAAAGCATAATTGCTTCTATTGTACGAGCGTACGACTGAGGAAGAAGACGACACGGGTGTGAACTACGTGCGTAAACGTCGTGTACTGCTCCATTTGCTTGTAAACAAGAACTATTACCATTGTTATTGTCGCATAGCTGGAATCATTGTTGACATTGTGTATTTTCTGATGGAGACACTTTTGGGTTTCTTTGTTAACGTTAGAGAGAAGAGAAAATACGTCGGGTCAATTAAAAGAATGAGTTGCTGCACATATGCTGAATAAAAAGGGAATCAAAAGGGAAAAACTACCTATATAGACATATTACGCTGTCTTATATACATATTTTATATCTACTTTAAAAATATTACATAGATTACCACTTTTTAGTAAATATACCATATAATTCAGAAAATTAAATCGGATACACAATACCTTAAAAAATTATAGTAAATAATTATCTTAAAATTATATCTCCTTAATTAGTGGGACATTAATAATTCAAGGGAAAAAGGTCTGATATACCCCTCAACTTTGTCATTTGGAGCTGATATACTCCTCGTTTACAGAGGAAGATTGCTTGTTTGACTGCAAAGGTCGAGGATTTAAATATGGATCATGTGCTATAAGTTCTCGTTGTTGTTGTACCGAATAAAGTCTCATATGAAGCTAATGCATGCGTTAAATCTGCGTATTAAATAAAATTTATGTATTTGATTAATGGTTGAAAAAATCTTCTGACAGATTGAAAGATGATCTTCGTTACTCTTTTCCTTATCTTTACTATTAATATTGTTTTAGTTGTATCTTTGGCTGTCCTAATGTTTTTACTTTGAAAACATTTTTCTTGAACATAAGTTTTATCAGGAACAATTTCTTTAGCTGGTACAATGTGAAGTAGATGTGTGTGTATATATATATATATATATATATGTATGTATATATATATATATATGTATACATGTATACATGTATAAATTGATTAAATGAGAAACTATAATAATTATAGCAATACTAGGAAAACAATGGAACTTTTAAAAAAAAGACTTTTGGAGGAAGTACCTTATGTTATTTTAAATTTTAACTTAATGGCCTAATGTTAATAAAATACAAGACAAAAAAATAGTCAAGATTTTTGTAGAAATTAATTGATACATAAAGCTAATCAAGAATAATTAATGGATTAATTAAAAGTAGATTTAAAGCAAGAACATGAAACCAAACCAAGGACTAAAAACAAACAATAAAAAGAATCGTGTTTAAAAAAATTACAATCAAGAAGGAAAAATGTTATAACAATCCTTTGCATCTTCTTTTCAAAATTTTAATTCAAACCCTTTTGAATTTAATTTAAAAATTGATGTTGACTTGTACTTGAATTTAAAAGTTTAATTTTAACTTGTACTTGAATATCACACCCATATTTATAAATTTTATGGTTGATAAGCAGTAATAAACACAAACTTTTGTTTTAACCAATCAAATCAAAGTAACACGATGATTGGTTAAAAATGGCAATTGTTCACATGATAAATTTCATTAGCCTTTGATTGTTTGACTTCACATATTTTTTTAGCATTTTGAAATGTGACGTGATTATGTTAGCTCTTTTATTTGACTTGGTGTGTGTTGTCCTCCCAACACACGTGCAGGTATTGTGATCACAAGTAATAAGTGTTGGTTCAATGAGATTCTGTAAGCATTTTTATATTTTTAATCATGTTAAAAATGTTTTTCCTTTCTTTTGATTAACTCATGTAAGAAGTTAGACATAATAGCCTAGGTGCATAACTTCTTTTTGTCCGTTAGTTTTTGGCTTAATTGCCATTCTTATTAGTGAATGATGTTTACCACTTAGTGGTTTCTAGAAGAACGTGTAATGGTCATAGGTGACCATTACTTTTTTTATATTCGATCTGTTTTATCTTATTCTTTATTTCTCTATTATACCTTATAACATATGTAAAGCCTAAGGCTATTTATCTTCACTATTTACTATCTCATTATCTTCCTATTCATTGCTAGGAAGACTTCATATAGTATAAATAGTAGTGGTTTTCAATTGGTTTGATATATAACACACAAGAGAAAAATATAGAGTGAAAAGAGTTAGTTAAAAAGAGAACTCTTACACTACAACAAAAATGACCATTAGCGACATTTAATTCTTAATTGTCGCTAAATATGTATTTTTAGCGGCAATTGTCACTCTTTGTATATGTCCCTAAAGCCTTTAGCGACATTGGTTCTAATGGTACTTAATTAATGCCGGTAAAGACGTTAGCACTCTTTATTAGTGTCAATATTTAATGCCGCAAAAAGTTATTTTGGTTGTAGTGATATTAGTTGAAGGGAGGTGTTTTATTTGTGGAGTTTTGGACTCAACTCTTGTCCATAGTTGTTGAGTTATACTTTGTGAAGACTGTTATATCCTAAAGGGGACAAGTCAAAGAGGACTACTGCTGGACCGGTGAAAATATTTGTTACAGTGGGCTTGAATCTCCTTAAGGAGAGCGAGATATTCGCACCTCAACCTGAAGAGATTTTATTTCTTTATTTCATTTTCAGTTATAATCTTGTATTTTTTTATCTTGTAAGTTTTCACTAACAATTTTAACGAGATTCATCATGACTACAATCGAAAAAATCGCGGAAGTCAAAATGAGAGATTTTAACAAGCCATTTCGGTTCAATGATAACCATTTTAAGAGATGGAAATGGTAAAGTACTTTTCTACTTAAGTCTTCTCAAAGTTTCTTATGTGTTAACTGAGAAGAATCTTAATAAAGAAGACATCACCTCTATGAATGATGATGAGACTATTTCTCACCTAGAAAAAATGGAAAAATACGATGGAGATTCTTATAAGTGTCGGTATTATATTCTTAACTGTCTGTCTGATTTTTATGATTATTATGATAGAACTTACTCTAGTGCAAAGAAAAATTGGAAAGTATTGCAGAGTTAGTATGATACATAAGAGACTGGAGCGAAAAAATATACAACTAATAGATTTTTTTTTGTTTCCAAATGGTGGACAACAAAACAGTTGTAGACCAAGCTCAAGACTTTATCATGATTGTTGGAGGTCTGAAGAGGTTAAAATAGAGATAACATTATTGTTTGTGGCATAGTAGATAAACTTCCACCTTCTTTAAAAGAATTTCAAAAAACTATGCACCACAAACAAAAGGAAACCTCTCTTGAAACTTTGACGATAAAAATTTGCATGGAAGAAGCAAGGAGCCAAGATGCACTTTTACAAACAAAAGAGAATGACATCACAATGAAGTTAATTTTAATTACTTTGAGTAATACTACTCTTGAAACTCACAAAAGTACTTCTTTGAACCCTAAGAAGGAAAAAATTCAAGAAAAATAATGGTAGACCTCCCAAGAAAAATAATGGTGAAAATAACCAAACACAAAATCACCAAGTTCAAGAAAAGAGACCATACTTTATTTTGTGGCAAGAGTGGTCATATTGCTCGATTTTACAAATTCTGGAACGTGGTCCTAACCCTCAGGCAAACATTATCGATGAACCTTTTGTTGCGGTGATTACCGACAAAAATATGGTTGAGAATGTTGATGGATGGTGGGCTGATTCTTGTGCAAAGCGTCACATCTGTAATGACAAAGACTGATTTAAAAAATATACTCATTTTGAGGAGCTCAAAACCATCATGCTTCGTAATGCTCATACTACTCAAGTGCTTGGAAAGGGAGATGTCGAATTGTGTTTTACTTCTCGAAGGGTATTAACTTTGAAAGATGTACTTTATAATCCTTCTATGAGAAAAAATTTGTCTTCTAGTTTTCTTCTTAATAAAGAAGGTTTTAAACAGATTATTGAATCTGATCAATATGTAATAGTGAAGAAGGGTATTTTTGTGGGGAAGGGGTATTCATGTGATGGGATGTTCAAGTTGAATGTTGAAATATTTATATGCTTTCTTCTACCAATTTTTGGCATGCTCGTTTGTGTCATATTAATGATCGTTATGTTGGAATCATGAGTAGTTTAGGATTAATCTCAATGGTTAAAACGAATTTTGAAAAGCGTGAGACTTGTAGTAAAGCTAAAATCACTAAAACACCTCATTTTCAAGTTGAAAGAAAAACTGTTTTTTGTTACAATTAGTTCATACTGATATTTGTGAACATGGTGGAATTCTAACTCGTGGAGGTAATAGATGTTTATCACTTTCATTGATGATATTTTTAAGTTTACATATGTTTACTTGGTGGAAAATAAAAGTGATGCTGTTGAAAATTTCAAAACTTATCTCCATCAGGTTGAAAATCAGTTTGAAAGAAAAATAAGAAGAATTAGAAGTGATAGAGGTCGGGAATATAAATCAAATGAGTTTGATTCTTTTGTCAGATCATTGGGAATAATTCATGAAATTACTCCTCCTTACTCTCCTTCATCTATTGGAGTAGTGGAAAGGAAAATTAGAAATTTTGTTGAATTGGCTAATGTCATGCTTATTGAGTCACATGCACCTTTGAATTTTTGGGTTGAAGCTATTTTAATTGCTTGTTATGTTTTGAATCGTATGCCTCATAAAAAGTCTAAATTGACACCTTTTGAATTGTGAAAAGGTTAAAAATCAAGTTTGGTATATCTAACAATTTGGGGACATTTCTAGCCTGTGTGAGGCTAATGTATCCCAAGATTACAAGGTTGGGTAAGAAAGTTACTACTTGTACTTTTCTTGGTTATGCTTCAAATAGTAAAATCTATAGATTTTTAATCTTAAAGACTATATTGTGATAAAACCAGGTGATGCTATTTTTCATGAAAATAAAATTTTCTTTTGATTCTAAGAATTGTGGGGGTTAAAGGATTGAAAATATTTTGTCTCTATCTAGTTCTTCTACTTTTACTTTGAAAAATAAATAAGTTGATGATTTTTAGTTTGAAGAAGTAAAAGAGTTAGAGTAGAAAAAGATTTTGGTCTTGATTTTATGTGTTTAATGTTGAAGATGACACTCTAACTTTGAAAGAAGCATGATCTTCATATGATTCTTTTTT